CTAACCTAACCTAACCTAGCCTAACCTAACCTAGCCTAACCTAACCTAGCCTAACCTAACCTAACCTAACCTAACCTAACCTAACCTAACCTAACCTAAACCTAACCTAACCTAACCTAACCTAACCTAACCTAACTAACCTAACCTAACCTAACCTAACCTAACCTAACCTAACCTAACCTAACCTAACCTAACCTAACCTAACCTAACCTAACCTAACCTAACCTAACCTAACCTAAACCTAACCTAACCTAACCTAGCCTAACCTAACCTAACCTAACCTAGCCTAACCTAACCTAACCTAACCTAGCCTAACCTAACCTAACCTAACCTAACCTAACCTAGCCTAACCTAACCTAACCTAACCTAACCTAACCTAACCTAGCCTAACCTAACCTAACCTAACCTAACCTAACCTAACCTAACCTAACCTAGCCTAACCTAACCTAACCTAACCTAACCTAACCTAACCTAACCTAACCTAACCTAACCTAACCTAACCTAACCTAACCTAACCTAACCTAACCTAGCCTAACCTAACCTAACCTAACCTAGCCTAACCTAACCTAACCTAACCTAGCCTAACCTAACCTAACCTAACCTAGCCTAACCTAACCTAACCTAACCTAGCCTAACCTAGCCTAACCTAACCTAGCCTAACCTAGCCTAACCTAACCTAACCTAACCTAGCCTAACCTAACCTAACCTAACCTAACCTAACCTAACCTAACCTAGCCTAGCCTAACCTTCAGACTAGTACCCGAACTGAGGGATATGAGCTACGAGGAGAGACTACAGGAATTAAACCTCACGTCACTGGGAGACAGAAGAGTTAGAGGGGACATGATCACTACATACAAGATTCTCAGAGGAATTGATAGGATAGATAAAGACAGACTATTTAACACAAGGGGAACACGCACAAGGGGACACAGGTGGAAACTGAGTGCCCAAATGAGCCACAGAGATATTAGAACTTTTTTAGTGTCAGAGTGGTTGACAAATGGAATGCATTAGGAAGTGATGTGGTGGAGGCTGACTCCATACACAGTTTCAAGTGTAGATATGATAGAGCCCAATAGGCTCAGGAATCTGTACACCTGTTGATTCACGGTTGAGAGGCGGGACCAAAGAGCCAGAGCTCAACCCCCGCAAACACAACTAGGTCAGTACACACACACGCACGCAGAGACACACACACAATATGACCGAAAAAGTAAGATTAATAATTCTAACACGAATTTTCTCAATCTTTCGTACATTTCTTTTCACTGTTGGAGGTAATTCAAAAATCCATTCTCCAAAATTCATTTTTGAATTTTGGAGAAATGATTTTTGATTGATTATATATATATATATATATATATATATATAGGGGGTACCACCACTGGTGTAATTATAGGGACCCACAGCCTCAGAGAAGGGAACACAGAGCACTCAGGGAAAAACTTGACATTTAACTCTGAATACGAAAGAGTGTTCACTTCTCCTACCACCCCCCTTTTTTTTTTTATTATGATGTACACTTTATTATGCAAGGTTATACAGTTACATATCTGATTTTATACAAAAAATGAACATTAAGAGGACACAAGAAAAAGTTCGCTTCCTAGAGGCTGTAGATTTCCTCGAACTCCTCCGACGCCGGGCAGGAACCGAGGATGCAGCGGGCATTTCCCCTCTGGATCGCGACACTGAGGCGCTGAAAGAGAAAACTTGCTGCTCTAGGGTCTCTTGTGGTGTCAATGAGCTTGGAACCAAGATCCTTAAGAAACCTTCTTGCACTCTCACCCCATGGGCCTAGGGTCTCAGACCCTATGGAACGAAATTGTACCTTTGATCTAATTGCCTGTACTTGACTGACTTTTGTTTTTCTCTGTGTGTCGCTGCGGCTCCTGCCGTGCCGGCAGAGAGGGTGATGTATGTCGTTGCCAGGGTGGATACGCAAGTATAGTCCCATGCTAACTGCCTGCCACCCTTCCACGGACGCAGTGTGATTCCGTCTGGTCGGCCGGCAAAGCTAACAGAGTCACGGTTCAGTAGGTTGCGGGGCTCTCTCTCCGCTGGACACTGAGCAGAGGCAAGGCTTCTTTTAATGATGTCGTTGACTTCGTCGTGTCTAGTGTGCCAACCACCCGATTTTCCACAGTGCAGGCCATGCAATCCATATTCGTCAGCATCTGCCTCGCCGCAAATACACCTGTGAACAGTGTGGATAGGGGCAGCAAGGCGGAGAGCGACTGCAATACGGAGCTCCTGCGGATCAAGACGTGTGCCTGTCGCAGACATAGGGACTGCCAGAAGGAAGTCCCCTGCATGGGGAGCCTGCACAGCTGTGAGGCGTGCACGATCACTGGGGGTTGTTGCTGCCTCCAGCAAAGCTGTGGCTTCTTTGTCTGCAATGGGGCTGTCCCAACTGGATTGTTTCTTGGCTTTCGGCATGGCTGGTCTGAGTGCTGGGTCTGTCATGGCACCCCATTTCGTGTCACATTCCGTGTAGTGGGGGTCCTGTATCCCCGCTACATCACTCAGGGTGTCAGGTAGAATTTCCTTAACCAGGTCATCTGATGCTGAGGAGGAAGACAGGAAGGCTGGGACTGCAATTTGGGTGGCGGTGCGGACACCCAAGCCACCGAGCCTGACAGGAAGAGTGGCTTGTTTCCACTGGCATTCGTTGAGAGAGAGGTTAACAACTTTTTCCAGCATGGTCTTCAGTAGGAGGTCATACTCGTCAAGCTTTGGGTTTTTGTAAGATGGGGCGCACCTCAGAAAGTAGGTTAGCCTCGGAAGGGATAGGCATTTGGTGAGGAGATAAAAAGCATCGTGGGCATCGATGTCACCTATTCTGTCTTCCATCCTCCTAAGGTCTGCGATTTTCTTGTCGAGGATCTCCTCAATGGCGTTAGACCCGAGGGGAGCTCCAAGGAGGGTGCTGTTCTCGGCCCTAATGACATGGGCTCCAGGCAAGGCAGACCTTATTCTAGCTACGATGTCTGGGTTGGAGGAGACTACTTCACACTTGGAAGGGTTCAGGACGAGACCCAGGCTTACTTCTTGCTCCTTATTTTCCTGATATCTGACAAGAGGTGGTCTACGGTGCCAGCTATAGTGCCATCATCCAAAAACCAGATGTTGAACTCGCTGGACAAGCTTTCGGTGATTTCTTTTAAGACTAAGCAAAAAGAAGGGGAGCAAGAGGATCACCTTGCTGAACACCTTCACATGATCTGATTTCATGTTTCACCAAAGAGCAGTTTTGACTCGCCACTGTAGCACGATAGTATGAACGGGTAGAGGGGCCGGAAATGGCGATGTACGGCACAAAGTACTGCATCTCTTCTTACCATGTTGAAGGCATTCTTAAAGTCCAGTTTGAGCAGGGCCTTTTCATCAGAAATGTTTGTGATGTATGCTCGTGCTGCATGGGCAGCCGCTTCACAGCCTTGGGGGATTCCAAATCCTAGCTGGATTGGTTTCAGCAATTCAGCCGCTTGCTGGCTGACAACCCTCGTAGCAGCCTTGGCAATCAGGCGTCGGAGAGTGTTGCCAACAGCGATTGGCCTATATATATATATTATATATATATATATATATATATATATATATATATATATATATATATATATATATGACAAAGTCCCCTCAAATCAAAAAACACTCCCTCCGTCAATGTGTTACAACCATTTAATGCATCAATTATACAATGTATGAAGTGTAACTATATAACCTGAGCTTGTAAAAGCATCTTAATCACCTTCAGTGGTCAAGTGCTTAATAACATTAGTTTCTATAGCAGCTATCTTACCCTGTCAGAGTAGGAGAGACATAAATGTATGTATATATATATATATATATATATATATATATACATATATATATATATATATATATATATATATATATATATATTTATATATATATATATATATATATATTTATATATATATATATATATATATATATATATATATATATATATATATATTATAATATATATATATATATATATATATATATATATGACAATGTCAGACCACGGAGGAAAAATGAAACAGGAAATTTCCTTAAGTACTTTCGTATATTAAATACATCTTCAGAAGGTGACCTTCTGAAGATGTATTTAATATACGAAAGTACTTAAGGAAATTTCCTGTTTCATTTTTCCTCCGTGGTCTGACATTGTCACATTCTTAATCACGTGTTTATTTTCGTGATATACACACATATATATATATTATATATATATATATATATATATATATATATATATATATATATATATATATATATATATTATTTCTTGCCCAAAACGCTGTGCATATTAGTGACTTTAGGCATAGCATGTACTAGCTCTATCTATAAATCCATCATCAGTAATTCACTTTGAATATATGTAGTTTTAACCTGAATATACATTTATTTATTATTTATGTACGTAGTAGATATAGTATAGTAGACACTATAGAAATACATAGAAGATCAAATCACTCAACGCAACGCAAGGTAGGGAAGATTATGTCCGGAGAGAGTACAGTAGAGATTTGAAAGGCGGGGTCCAAGAGTTAACATCTTGATCCAGCAGGCACACATAGGGAATACAGACACACACACACACACACCTCAACATAACCATCCCTACACATATACAACCCTTCCCCCCTATACACACAGATACCCCCCCTCCCAACCTCACATACACTCACACACATGAGGAATATGGAAACCTGCTTAAGTAAGGTGTTATTACTCAATAAGCAACAGAAAGCAAAACAATTAATAGAATTGGAGGAAAAAGTACCCATGAAAATTATGGGTACTATTATGTTTGCACCATAATATATATTCCCCTTCCCCATGATTGTGCTCTAAGGTGTACACCTCCACAGGTGTGGATTAATACAATCACAATCAATACAATCACAATCAATCATCACAATCACAAACAGCCACGTCAAAACAGATGATGACAAACAGGTAACTCCAAACAACCTCACACTTACCTGCCGCTACGGTCGCTTAATGTTTACACTTCACAGGTATATGTGACCATTATATTAACAGCTGACTGACAGCCACATTTCAGGTGGTCCTTAAACACACACTTTTGGGTCCGGATATCACCAATTGAAGAGCAAGTTAACGGGTTTTGTACCTGGTGGCGGGCGTGAGGTCTAGGGCGGGTGAACCAGTTTCTCCCGCGACCACGTGTGAGAGAGGAGTGAGGGAATGAGGGAGAGCGAGTGAGGGAGAGTGAGACGAACGAAGAGGGGGTTTAGGGGGCGTGTCCTTCACTAGCGGAGGTCAACAACAGACTGAACCAGACCTGCTAGCTCGCTCTCCTGCTCCCCCTCTCTCTTCCCCTCCCCCCTTCCACTACACCCCCCTCCCACCAGTCAGCGAGTGGTTGCCTCCTTCCCACTCCTCCCCCAACCCATCCATCCGGAGGAAGGGAGGCGGAAAGGGGGGGGGGGGAAGTGTGGGGGAGGGGGAAGAAGGTAGACGAACTGGTCAACATTTCCAGTGATTTTTTTTCTCTGTTGCTTACATATTAGGATGAGAGAGAGAGAGAGAGAGAGAGAGAGAGAGAGAGAGAGAGAGAGAGAGAGAGAGAGAGAGAGAGAGAGAGAGAGAGAGAGAGAGAGAGAGAGAGAGAGAGAGAGAGAGAGAGAGAGAGAGAGAGAGAGAGAGAGAGAGAGAGAGATCAACACCAAGAATGAATAACAATTAATAAACTAGCTACATTGTATAATATGTTACCCACCCTTCTTAAACGTCTACTGACTGGGATTGAAGAGAGACTTATGGCCTTAAGTCGTTACTTCAGATCTGGTTTAGTGATTTGGCGGCGGCCAGAGGTGTCCCTCGCTGGCCCTCCTGGTGTCCTCACACGCCCGGGGGACACCTTGTTGTGGCTCACGGTGAACTATGAGTGCGTGGGAGAAGAAGCGCGTGGGGGAGGCAGCTCGGGGAGAGGAAGCGCATGGGAGAGGGTGGAAGTGTTTGAGAAATTTATGAATTTGTACTTGAGGGGGTTAATTAAGCTCTGGCTCTTTGAATCCCGCCTTTCAACTGTCAATCAACTGGTGTTCTGTCAATCAACTTGAAACTGTGTATGGAGTCAGCCTCCACCACATCACTGCCTAATGCATTCTATTTATTAACTACTCTGACACTGACAAAAATTATTTCTAATGTCTCTGTGGCTCATTTGGGTACTCAGTTTCCACCTGTGTCTCCTTGTCCATGTATCACCCGTGTTAAGTAATTTGTCGATATCTACCCTATCAATTCCCCGAGAATTTTGAATGTGGTGATCATGTCTCCCCTTACTCTTCTCTCTTCCAGCGACATGAGGTTTAGGTCCTGTAGTCTGTCCTCGTAGCTCATACCTCTCAGCTTGGGTACTAGTCTGGTGGCATACCTTTGAACACTCTCCAACCTAGTCTTATGCTTGACAAGATACGGACTCCACGCTGGAGCTATGCCAGGATTGGTCTGACATATGAGGTATATAAGGTTCTAAATGATTCTTCATACAAATTTCTAAAGTCAGATTTTATGTTGGTCAAGGTAGCATATGCCGCTGATGTTATCCTTTTGATGTGGGCTTCAGGGGAATGGTTCGGTGTGATATCAACCCCCAGATCTTTCTCTTTTCTTGTTTCTTAAAGGCTTTCATCTTCCAAATGGTACCTTGTACCTGACCTCCTGCTTTTTACACCTATTTTAATTACTTTACACTTGCTAGAGTTAAACTCAAATAGCCATTTTATTTGTTTGACCATTCCTTCAGTCTGTTCAGGCCATCTTCAAGTTTCATGCTGTCCTTCTCCTGTCTTAATCCTTCACATAATGTTAGCATCAGCAAACATCGAGTGGAATGAGTCTATACCCCCTGGAAGATCATTTACATATATCAGAAACAGGATTGGTCTGAGTACAGAACCCTGTGGGACTCCGCTGGTGACATCTCGCTATTCTGAGGTCTGGTACTGTGTCAAAGGCTTTCTGACATTCCAAGATAATGCAGTGTGCTCATCATTCTCTTTCTTGCGTATTATGTGTCACCTGATCACAGAATTTAATTAGACCTTTGAGGCAAGATTTGCCATTCCTGAACCCATGTTGGTCGTGAGTTACAAAGTTCCTTCTCTCCAGAAGTGTTACTAGATTTGTTCTCAGGTTCTTCTCCATCACCTTGCATGGTATACAAGTTAGGGACACTGGCCTGTAGTTCAGTGCCTCTTGCCTGTCGCCTTTTTATGTATTAAGACTACATTACATGTTTTCCATATTTATGACAGGTCTCCTGTCTCCAGTGACTCCAGACACAGTCACTCCAGTGACCACTATGTAGAGTGGCAAGAAAAGTACTTCAGCACACTCAGTACCCATAGTGAGATTCCATCTGGACAAACAGGCTTTCTCACACAGAGATTCAACAGATGCCTCTTAACCTCATCTGTTAATTTCAAAATGTTCCAAATCTGACTGGTTTATTGTCATTGATTTGATTGTTGCCGCCGAAGGCGGCTAGTTTATTGTGCACCCCATACTCATCCTGTGAGCGGTAGCGTAAAAACATTACAGAGGGCACAAAAGGTCTTTATCAGACCTCATCTTAGATTATTACATAAACAATTTCATCTATCCTTCACACCTTATAGTTACAATGTCAGCTAGTTACAGAGAAAGTGCTATTACAAGAGCTACATATTTACAGTAAGGTTTATTGTCGCCTCTCTTAATTCCGGGATTTCTCGTTCCTTCCAATGTGAAGACTTCTTGGAATCTCTTGTTGAGGTCTTCACACACCTCTTTGTCATTCTTTTTGTACCTGTCCTCGCCTGTTCTCAGTCTCATCATCTGTTGTTTTATGTTTTTTTTTCCCCGATGTACCTAATGAACAGTTTTGGTTAGGTGTTGGCTTTATTTGCTCTTCATACTGTCTCTCAGCTTCTCTTTTCACACTGAAGTACTCATTCCTTGTCGTCTGGGATCTTCCTCTGTTCTCTGGTGTTCGGTTATTACTGTAGTTCCCCCGCACTCTAGTATCTAATTGCCTTGCTTCCTTACATGCCCTATTAAATCATGGATTCCTCTTTTGTTATTTTTTTTCCTTTTGGGCCGGGACAAACTTATTTAGTGCCTTCGGACACTTTTGGGTCATGTAATCCGTCATGTCTTGTACAAACTTTTCTCTGAGTTTTCTTTCCCATGTTATTTCTATTAAAAATTATATCATCTCTTAATAGCTTCCCTTTCGGCATGCTAGCCCTTTGCTTTCTTGTATTTTCTTTGGGGAGATTAGTCATAATTCCACCAGATACTCAAATATCAGTACTCAGTGGTCACTCATTCCCATGGGCTCTTCCAACTTAACTTCCCTTATGTCTGACTCATTCAGAGTGAATATCAGACCAAGTCTAGGCAGGTTCATCATCACCTCTCATTCTTGTGGGCCCCTTTACGTGTTGGCTTTGAAAGTTTCTTGTTGCCACGTCCAGTCGTTTCGCCCTTCAAGTAGCTGTCCGTCTGTGCAAGCCCCAGTTACTCCCATTCTATCTTCCCATGGTCGAAATTCCCAATGATTAATAGCCTGGATCCATTCCTGCAAGTGACAGAAGCTGTTGTCTGTATTATATTTATGGTAGTCATGTTGTTTCCATCGAATTCCTGTCTGGGTCTTCTGTCATTTGGCGTGGGGTTATATTTTACTACTAATAATATTCTTTTTTGTCCTTCGATTGTCATAGTGCGTGTTATGTAGTCACTGAGCCCTTCACAGCCTGGAATATCCATTTATTTCCTTATCAGCAGAGTCACTCCTCGTCCACCTCTTCCTTCCCTCTCCTTCCTTACTACATAGTATTCCTGCAGAAACACAGCATTTGTTATGACCTCTGTTAATTTAGTTTCTGTGAGTGCAATTATGCCTGAGTTTTCCTCCTGTGCCCTTTTCCAAAGTTTTCTTGACTTATTTGAATGCATTGCCTTGAAGCTCACAATTTTTCTCTCCATTCTCGCTCCCTCTCCCTTGGTGGGCGTTACGCTGGTACAGGAAGTTGTTCTGTGGGAATGTCAAATTGTGAGCTAGTTAGCATGACCTCAGAGGGGTGTGGGGTGGGGGGCAAAGAGTAGGGTGAGCAGGGAGGGTAAAGGGTTAGATACGGGAGGGAAGGGTGGACATTTGGATGGGTGCTGAGAGGGCGCGGGGTGCCCACCCTACTCCTTGCCTCAATCTATGGGGCAGGAACGTGTGTCTGTGTACAATAGAACAGGGATAAAAATTCACGTAAGGGACCGACTAAACAAAGCCAAAGTAGCCTTAGGAAAACTGAGGAGATTCCGAAGCCTCAGTACATACAGATCCACCTATATAAGGCTCTATTCCGGCCGCATCTAGAGTATCCCACAGTACCACTACACACCTTAAAGAAAACTAACATACAAAAACCACAAGCAGTACAAAATAAGACACTAAGGAGAGCAGCAAAACACCGTCCACCATATGATCAGACAATCCAGGAGCTCCATGAACTCCTGAATGCACAGCCACTAAACATCAGACTGCAGCACCAAGCCATCAGGGTGTGAAACACCATCGAAATGTTAGAGGACTCAATGTTAGAAAGATTACTCCAAGATGAGACGCCCCGCTCCCACAGCTGGTGGGCCAAAGGCCTTGATTTACTACATGAAAACCCCGCCCCACAGTACATAATTCCCAGATGAAATACTGACCAGAAATCAATTCCCCCCAATACTTGTACAAATTATGGAAATCAAAATTAAATAGCCTTAAACAAAACAAAATAACACGTGCGGAAGCATCGGAGTGTGTATATATATGAATGCTACACAGTGTAAAGATGTTAATAATAAATAATAAAGTATTCATCTATGGACATCCATATATGATGAAACACATGTGAAGAATCTCTCACACACTCACAGCTCCCTGACAAGAGAGAGAGAGCAAGCTTAGCTTAGCTGCCAACACCCACACATCGTGTCAGCAAGGCGGACAGCCCCCCGCCTGCTTTCATAACTCAATGTATTTCCCACTTCTAAACTTCCCTTCACCTATGCCTCTCCTTCCTCTTTACCCCCCACCCTAAAAAAAAATGTTTGCGCGTACTCACCTAGTTGTGCTTGCGGGGGTTGAGCTCTGCTCTTTCGGCCCGCTTCTCAACTGTTAATCAACTGTTTCTACTACTACTTTTTTTCCACACCACACACACACACACACACACACACACACATCAGGAAGCAGCCCGTGACAGCTGACTGA